TAAATTGCTCACTTGGCGATGGATTTTGCGCTCAAAAGGAGTGTAGAGTAGCTTACAAAGCCCTTATCTCTTGGCATGGTGCAAAGGTGAAGAACTCTGAAAGTTTCGAGACTGCAAAACTCAGCTCTTCCAATTGCGAAGAGGCAAAATTCCATACCTCAACATTTCAAGTGTGGACTTCTCGTGTAAATTTTGTCAGAATGTCAAAAAAATGTATGGATTCCTGATAAAAATTCGCGTACCTTTAAAAGCTGAAATTCTGAAAGTTTATGGTAAAATTAATGGCTTGAGTTCTACAGAATGTCAGAATAAGTTTTCAGCTTTCAGAGGTGCGCGAATTTTGATCAGGTTTTCAGACAGGTTTCTGCCTATTCTGACAAGATTTACACGAGTGTATTGCCACAGACGTCCTTCGAATCTCTTCGTGTGTGAGTGCGAGAGAGACAGTATGCTCCTCATCCTGTCGTCCGAGTCACCGTGAGTGCGAGAGGGACAGTGATCTCACCCAGAAGCTGTCGTTTAAGTCGAAGGGGACCGCGAAGGTGCCGGTGACGATTTGCGGCGCGTACGGCTTGGCGGGGTTGAAGTGGCTGAACCGTAGGCTGCTGCTGTTCTGCCCCCACGAAGTGTCGTTTTCGGAGCAGATGAGGAACCGCTTGACGGTCATTATGTACGGACCCTGAGGCAGCGACAAAACCTTTCAATCGTCGCACAGTGGGCCAGAAGACCGGTGGAGGCAGTCAAAACTCTACACTGCTAGAACTGAAGCGTATTACTTCTACGCCTTTCTTCAAGCGTAGTGCTACTACGCTCGGCTTCAAGCGCAGTTCTCCTACTCTAGAGCTCAAACCACGTCTAGAATTTTGGCCGCCTCCGCCCGTCTTCTGGCCCATTGTGCGCCGCCGAGTCAAGAACAAGAGGTATCAAAAAGCCAGGAACCACACTGAGATTCCAAACGCTATGAGTAAGACGTATGGTGCAATGCAGCTGAGATATTCGCACCATACGTGCAATGCCATGGCCATATTGCACTTACGTGCAATGCATCCCGAAAATGCCCTATGCATGGGAATGGGGAAGCATTGCACTTCATGTGCAATGCTTTTGCGTGGCAGCAATTGACGCTATACTCATAGCGTTTGGATTCTCAGTGCATTGGTGCAGTCTCCCAGAGCTTGCAGTCCACTCTTCGAGTGTGGAGCTTTCACGAGCTTTCCACGTTTGCCACCATGCCGAGGGAGATGCCGACAGACAGGGGCTCGGTGAGCTACTGCACACTTGGCTTGAAGTGTGGATGCTGCAAAACTTCCAGACGCCCAAGTGTAGGTTTACTCCACACCAGGATGTGTGAAGTACCACACATGACGACGCACCGCGAACGACGGGATGTTCTTGGCGGAGGCAGACAGCAGCAGCACCGCGGCCACCACGCTGACGGTGTTCGCGTCCATGGGCGCGGTGCGCGCGGGACCGACTGCGTGGCTCGCACCACGCGGCCTTTGGGCGGGACAGCGCCTCGGAAACACCAGTGAAAGTGTATACGTAGGTAACTCCAACAAGGCGTTTTTTATTTTCGCTTTTTTGTTTTGAAAGCAGCGACACGCAACGTAGACAGGGCTCTCGAAAAAACAGGAAATAGTGAATGGCGAACCATTTTGTGCACAAATGGAAACGCAATCCAAGCTTATTCCACTATCCAGGCATCAAAACCGCCTGCAAGTTAACTGTCAAACAAACTGTGGAAAACTGCACTCTTCCCGGTATGAGGTCTTGGACGAGCAGAGTTTGCAGTCTCCACAGTCCTCAAGTTTGTAGGCATCAGAAACGATACCAATTTATTTAACTAATTCCGGAGGGTGACCCGTGTATACAAATTGCAGGCAGAACCGACACGGAACCCATGCCTACTGGTTGTTAATCGCTCGAACACATCACTGTGTAACCAAGTGTGGAGAACTCCACACTTGGTATCCGGAGGTGTGGAATTGGCAGTCTACGCACTTTGAAGTGCAGAGTTTGCAGTCTGCACACATGGAGTGCGGATGCCGAGAGATAGGGGCGTTGTCAGCTGCTCCAAACTTGAAATGTGTAGACTGCAAACTCCACACGCCAAAGTGTGGAGTATCCCCTTGCAAAATGGAAAATATATGGGCACTATATGGACAGAATATATGGCCCAACATGTATTGACGACATATGTGGAAAAGATAATTTAGCAAGATACTTGTCCGATATAAAAAATATGTGGCAAAATATATAAATTTCATACATTGCTCTATATGTAGGCAATATATAGTGTGAATACACCATGGAGTCTGACGACTCAGAGACTTCCTTTACTATTATCAAAGAATGGAATCTCGCCATGCGAGGGCATCCAATCGTAAACCTATCGTGGTCGCCTAGACGAACTTTTCACGCTACACTCAAAAAAGACGTTCAAAATTTCCTAACTGTTCCAGTTAACTTGTTAAACAGGATTTCTCAAAATTTCTTGGAGACTTAAACGCATAGAAAAGAACCTTTCCCCTGCTCAATATATGGCGTCAATATATTTTACAATACAAAATCATGTTGAGAAATAAGGTAAAAAATCAATTGTGGGTCACATTTTTGAAAATTCGAAATAAAGGCCTTTAATTCTGACCTGGTGACAAAAGTGCATGTACGGCCTTAAACTATGGTCCTTGGACTAAGTTTTGCAGCATAGTAGCCCCGTCTATCATCCTTATTTACTAAGCTGTGACTGTTTTAAAAAAAAGTCTGTTTTGGCCCACAATTGATTTTTGGAACCAGTTGTGGGTCAGCATTGTAGGAAGCTCAAATTTGGATATGATTTGCTTAAATACGAGAGAAATTCACTTCTGTATTTATTTTTCGGAATCGTGAAAACTGCAGGATCTGTAGCACAATGAATCAATTGTGGGTCACATCAATTGTGGGCCATTTCGTCTTTTTGCTTGTAAATTGACCACTTTTGCAAGATATTTTCTTATTTTCATTAATTAAAGGTCCCTGGTTCTCAATAAACCAAGCAGACACGTTTTTCACTCAAAGAGGAAAAATACACAAAGAGGCTAATTTCACTGTGAGACAGATGTGAGTTAAACGTCCTGGATTAGAGACGAAACTTTTATAGTGCACATTGTAGGGCCGCCGGTGTGGTAGACAATCCAACACCACACCCTGTCATGAGGTATTGCTACAATTTATTATCTATTTCAGTCAGAATATTTAGTCTGTAGGGATTAATTTGACTCGTTTTAACAGAGCCGGGCTGGCCTCGGGTGCCTAGCCAGCAGTTGGAGAGCGGTCCCCTTCCGGGCGCTATGTAAGCCTCGCAATGCCCCCCCCCCCAACAAAAAAGCCTTATAGCATGGCAGACTGGAAGAGCTAGCGTTGTCATCCGGGGCTGTAGCCTAAGCTTAACAAAACCTTCGTATCGTAGTACTAAATGTGACAGCAGAAAAATGGAATTTACTGTGATACATCAGTCATCCAGAAGCGCAGAAAACAAAAAATAGCAGGAAAACTACCGTAAAATTCGTCTAAAACAATGGGTCTGACATGGTAGCGAACGCTACTTTGCCAGCACCCGCGCACCATGGCATCGAATGATTTCGGCCGTACTATGGTAAATTTATGTTCCCTCACCTATTATGAACCTAAATCAGCAAGGGCGTCCCATTTTATCTCGTTATAGCTTCACGGTGGCAATTTGAAACACACACGATTTTTCGCCTCGTTGGATGGGCGCCATTTTCACGACTTTTTGAAGGGCCTTCCTTTGAAGCCTGATAGGAGCCGTTACAATCGTCGCTCGGACATACACGCTATTTGGGAAGACAAAGAAAGGTTGGAGGAAGGTCTACCGCGAAATTCAAATCGATTCAATTTCTGTCGGGTCTGCGGTGACCCGTCGAAAAAAATGACCCACAATTGATTCGTGACCCACAATTGATTGGCTGAGCGATAGCGAAGCCCGTTACTCCAGTGGGGTTGAAAAGTTTTGTCTGTCTGTCTGTTTGTCTGTCTGCGTGCGTGTG